TATAATCTAATGCAACTTAGTGTCCACATTGGAACAGAAAAGATATGAGTGAAAAATTGGTGACACCGAACAGTCTGCCGTGTAGGTGACAGTTACACCCATGTCCTTTTTGTTTTTTAAATTTTGCTAGAGAGCGTGCACTTTCTGAGGAGAGAAGGAAAGTGAGAAAGCACTCCCCGGGGTTGGGGGATGACCATGCTGCAGTCCCTTCTCCCCCGTTCTCCTCTCAGTTCTTTGGGCATGCGCGCTCATGCTCCTGACGTGCTTTTCCAGCCACCAGGTCTGGGACTCAAACCGTGCAGTCGGCCATGTGGGATCCAGCCCTTAAGCGGCACACCACTGGCTGGCTTGCATGTCCGTTCTTTCAGTTTCGATAAACGTGCTGTGGTTATGTGAGATGCCAACACGGAGGCTGCTGTCATTGTGGTTCTCCTGCAAATCTAGAACTATTTCAAGATCATTTTCTTTGAAAGCTGAGTGGATTCAGTTTATTCCTTTATGTTTCCATTTCCTTTCATGCCTTTACATATATTCTAAATTATCTACCTCCTGCCTCGCTGTATTTCACACTGAGAGATTTCCATCGGTCATTTCCCTGTTCTTTTTCTCTTTTTTCCTTATAACGGTGGGAACTGTGTACTGTTGTAATGTGAACGGTTTTCTAGATCGTCTATTTGCAGAAGCCAAAGGAACTCTTGTCACGTAAGCACGAATGTTGCTAAGAAAGGACTTGCATCCAATAAGAAGACAAGCTGGTTATCCTAAACATGCCATCCCTTTAAAAAAATAATATCCCCCAGTTTTTTACACTCTTATCCCAGTAAAACCTCTTCTACATTTTCTAACCTCACCAGTACTAACATTTTGCCTCTCAATAAAATATAAGCTCTCTAAAAGAAAATGCATTACACCGGGCCCTGGCAAGCACTGACCACCAGGGAGGCTCAGGCTGGGCAGTTCCTCTAACGTCCATGGCTCTCCTCCTGGCCCCAACTCCAAGATCCCCGCAGGTTTGGCAATGTCGTGTCCCCAAACACCAGGTTGCTGTAGGTCCCCAGCAGCTCATCCTTGTGTAGAATCTTCGCAGCATCTCCCAGCCCCTGCCACTGCTCCCAGGTAAAGTCCGCAGTGACATCCTCAAATGATATGAACCGCAAAAATGGATTCGTTTTCTTAATCCTTGACAAATACAGAGGTTTCCAAAATCATAGCTTCATAGACAGTGTGTCCGCCAGAGCACGGTCAGCACAGCGGCAGATTTTCCCAGCGACCACGCAGAAGGACAAGATAAATTTTTAAAAATTAACTTTAACGCACATGACCCACTATGTTCTAACGTACAGTCAGATGGGGTGCACTCATTTTTAAAAAGAATTAATTTTATTTATTCATTAATTTATTTTAATTTGACCAGAGAGAGACAACAGAGAGAGGGAAGGTGAGAAAGCAAGCCACCAGGTCCAGGACTTGAACCGTGGTCAGCCATGTGGGAGTGTCCAGTGCCCTAACCACCATGCCACCTGCTGGTCCCCATGGGGTGCACTCATTTTAAGTGTGCACTTACAATGTAGGGGAACACTGATGGGTTCTGACCATAGGGTGGCTGCCATACATAAGGAGTCCCAGGAAAACCTGTCTGGGAAGCTACTCCAAGGTGGGCGAAGTTCTGGGAAGTGAGCACCAGCAGGAGCTGCATGTGCAACGGCCCTGGGGCAGGAACATCAAAGGCCCTGACTCCAACCCCCGGCCCTTCATCCTGGTCTGCAGGAAAAAACTCAGCTCCACCAGCTCCTGCTTCTCAGAGTTCAGGTGGAGACTGAGATATTAGCAGGGGCCACAGAGGGAGAGGACCCGGAGGTGAGAGGGGGTAGTGAACAGAGGGGGAAGGCGCTGAGGGCAGGGTGGAGGCTTACTCAGGTAGGGACTGCTCCCTGCCCACCTCCTGGGTGGGCATAGGTGGACTCCAGGGTTGAGCCTGGCCTTAGGCCTGCCGGGTGGGGCTGGGCACCTCTTACTCTTGCAAACTCACGCCCCTCCGGCAGGTGCTCAGTGCATATTGGCAAGTAGCTGTCTCTTCCTGGTGTGAGATTTCCGTGTTATTCTGCACCCGCCCTCCCCCATGTGTGGGACCTGTTCCTGGGTGGGAACAGGTGCAAGGCATTGGGGAAGTGGGGTCGTGTCCTACCCCCCCCCCTGGGGACTACTTCTGACTCTGTCTTACAGGGAGTCACCAGTGCTCCCATCCCCGCTTCTCAGAGGGAGGGGATACATTGAGACCCTAAGAAGAGCCAGGAAAAGCCTATTGCCCGACCCCTATATGGTAATCCCAGGGCATGACCCCAAGCCTTGGCAACTCTGTCACCCTACAGTCGGACTCCTGGGCTCCGGTGTTTCCAGGGGCCAGGGTTGCGAGGTGTCCCTATGTGGTCATAACGTGGAACCTCCCTGTGCCTCAGTGTCCTCATCTGTCAAAGGGGTGATGTCACAGCGCCTCCCTCTCAGGGAATATGGGGTGGATGGGGACACCCACAACCACAGTGCGGGCATGGGGAGTCATAGAGGCCAGGCGCGGGTGCGGGGGCTAGTCCACCTGGGGTGGGTGCCATGGGGCGCCAGGCTGGGGGACCAGGACAAGAAGCGGCGCTGCCGCTTAGTCCCACCCCTGCTAGGCACAGGCTCCCAGACCACCTGGCTGCGTCAGCCCTGCCTCTGCGGCATCTGTGCCAGGAAAGCAAATGGTACATTGGGTTTCGGTGCCAGGAACAAGCTTCCTGCAGTCTCTGCTGCGGTCCCGCTGTGCCTAATGCCCAGATTTCGTAAGTGGTTCTGGAAGTAGTTCTAGGAGCAGTGTGTGGGGGAAGTAAAGGCCCCTGCAGAGGCAGGTAGGAGGGGCGCGGTGACACAGAGTCAGGAAGACCCAGGGTGAGCCCCCCGGAAGCATCCCTTGCAGCAGAGCTCAGTGTAGCCGGTGCTCAGTAGACGCCTGTTTCAATGACTAGACCCGGAGCCTGCGCGGAGTCGGAGGCATGGGCTTAGGGACCCAGCTCTGAGTCTGGGTAGCCCCCCCCAGCCCTCACCCCAGCCCCTGTACAGCTTCCCTCTTCGGAGAGATGTAGGTGAGAGGCCAGGCTCACTCACCTCTGCTTTACAGTCCTCGTACCCTCCAGGCGCATGCGCTCTGGGGCACTCTCGCTTTAGAGCGATTTAGCTTGTTGTGGGGCCTAAGAGTTGTGCAGAAGCAGTCAGGGTTGTGAGAGTTTGTTCTTGCCTCCTCCAAACACCTGCCAGAGACATTCTGGCTTAATTATCTGGGGAACTGATAGAACAAATCGTAATCAAGTCTACTCTAAGATGCTGCTTCCCTTGAGTCATTGGCCTAAAATCTGCTTTGCAAAAATGTGCAGATGTGGCTGAAAATTGACCATGAGGCGCCCAGTTGTCTGTTACGGTCTGGATCTGTGCCATTGGTTAAGCACCCAGTACAGGCTGGCTCCCTGTCCCCACAGTGACAATGGGGACCATGCTGGTCTCCCCACACCCAAGTTTTAAGCCCATATGGCCAGGGGCTACACTGTGTAGACACAATGTAGCAAGATGGACATTTGGTTTTCAGACCAAAGCACTCATCCAAAAAATACTTTTCTTTCCAGCTGCAGCTGATGACCTTCTGAATAGTCCCTCTGCCCACAGGAGGCCAGAAGGCAACCCTTGGCACAGACTCCTGCAGGAAAGGGCATCTCTCCAGGTTAAATACTGCTTGGACTAGTGCAGTATCAGAGTAGTGACAGCAGTACCCAGGCCAGGGACATAGAAATGGAGAACATGGAGAGACAGAATCAGAATGTGGAGTTTCTGGATTCAGAGGGCTGGGATGGGGAGATACGTCTGTACAGGTGGAAGAGGGATGGCAGTGTGAGCCTCTATCTACCCCTATCGACTTAACTGGGAGAACCGTGTGCATTTGCACTTGACAGTTTATACTCAGCCAGGCTGGGGCAGTCCTTAGGAGGCCTGACGTCAAAGGGTCAGAGCACAGAGGCGAGCTTCTAAAAAGCGGCACCTAGAGAGGCTGAAAAGCAGCAGAGATAGGCGACACTGGCCCCGGGTGAGCGTGGGAAGGGCGCTGAGGGTCAGGCCATGAAGGTCCAGGCCAGCAGCCCCAGTGTCCCGCAGTGCTGAGGGGCTGGCTGCTCCTGGCTGAGATCCGCTGACCTGCTGGTCACCCCCCTTGGTGACACCATGCGCCCAGGCACAGCAGGGGCTGCTCTGCTCCAGGGAGCTGCCACAGGGCCAGGGCTCACTGTAGTGCCTGCCGCGCTTGGAGGCTGTAATTACACGTCTCCGTCCTGTGGGCCGAGTCACAGAAGGCGTTCAGGGAGGTGTTTGTGGGGCCTGTGAATCAGGAGCTCATGAGAAAAGTGGTGGCTGGCACAGCAGAGAAATTAGGGCCTTGGAGTTAGTGACGAGCAACCACCTGCAGCCTGGGCCGAGGGCCACCACCCCGCGACCTGGCCCACAGACACCTGCTCTTCAGTCCGTGTCTGCATATCCCGCCATTCCTTCCACCACCGTCGGGAGCTGAGCCTCTGCTGAACACGGGACCCGGGGGATACACGTATGTACACATACACCACCGCGCACACAGCCGTACACACGCACAATCTCACAGCCACGTGACCTCACTCAGCAGCACATACCAGTGTACACAAAATAACCACCACAGACGAGTATGGAACAAGAGGGGTGCCCACACGAACAGCCATGACACGACCGAGTACGCACATGTGCACACACATGCTGTCTTATAGGACAGGCACACACTCCCTGCACCTCGGAAAAACCAGCACACCCTCGTATTCACTCGCCTTTCTCTTGAAATAGGAAGAAAGTGCCAGACTCGGGATAGTGTCCTGACGTCCCAGAGTGACGGAGAGACCAGCCCAGGCCCTGGGCACAGCGTCTGCAAGGGGCAGCCTGACTCGCTACCTTTCTGTCTCCAGGGGCCACCAAGGATATGGGGAAGATGCTGGGCGGTGACGAGGAGAAGGACCCCGATGCGGCCAAGAAGGAGGAGGAGCGCCAGGAAGCGCTGCGCCAGGAGGAGGAGGAGCGCAAGGCCAAGTACGCCAAGATGGAGGCGGAGCGCGAGGTCATGCGGCAGGGCATCCGCGACAAGGTGGGCACCGCGGCGCGAGCGCCCTCCTGTACAAGGCAGCGGCCTGTGCGGGTGCGGGTGGGGCTCTCTGACCCCTCTGGGTGTGAGAGGGTGCCGGCGGGGGCAGGGGAGGGGGAGGCCGCTGGGGGCTCTCATCTAATGCACAGAGCAGACCCTGGAGCTTTAGGGAGGTGATCCCTGGGGTGACAGAGATGACAGCTGAGATGACAGGTGTCCACGGCGGGATTGGGGGGTCATTCTTGACAGCAGGGCCTGTTCTGGCCCCTGGACACTCCCCTCTGAGGAGAGGCCCTCCAGGAAGGCATAGGGGCTGGGCTGCCCCTCCAGGGAGTGCTGGGCGCCTTCAGGGGTTCCATAGTGGGGGCTGCAGGCCAGGCTGGGGAGTGGTGGGCGTCCAGCAGCTGCAGCTGCTCCTGCGTGGTTTGGGTGAGAACAGCCAGGGAGCAGGGTGCCCCTTCACGGAGGGGGATGCTGTGGCTGAGTGTGGGAGCCAAGGCCCTCACACCCAGCCCAACCACAGCCATCTGCATGCTGTCTTTTGAGGGTGTGTCCCTCCAGGGGCCAGTGGCAGCATGGGGACAGCCCATGGAGGAGCCCATGTCAGGTTGGAGGCTTGGAGGAGCCCTGTGGGAGCAGCTGGGCCAGTGCTGCGGCTCTGCTGTGAGCACCTGTGAGGGAGATGACAGGGGAGGTGGGGGGCCTGTGCTCATGGCTGTCATTGGGCCAGGCACCCAGTGGGAGACAGAGGAGTTGACTCTGGGGGCGCTGCCTGAGGCAGCCACCAGCCCAGGGTCTGTGTCGCCTGGGTGGGAAGCAGTACACCCTGAGGGGCTGTTCTGGGCCAGTTGAGGTGCTCAGGCTGGGTGGGAGGGCTCAGGTCCCGGGAGCCCTGCCTGCTGCCAGTGGTGCTCCAAGAAGGTGGAGAAGCTGTCACCTGCTCTGTGTCCGGGAAGGGCCAGGTCTGCTGAGCCTCAAATGGAACTTGCACCTCCCATGGTGCAGGGGGCAGATGCCACGGAGGGGCCAGTAGATGGCATAGGCAAGACACATCCAGGTCCCTGAGTCCCCAAAAGGTCAGTCCAGCGGTGCCTTCCCGCCCCCTGCCAGATTCTCCCCAGGTCTCCAATCACCAACGCATCCCACGTACCATGCGGTGCAGAGTGGCCTTTGATGGGTGATGGGGCTGCCTACCCCCATCACGGTCACTGGGTGCTTTTCTTGCGGGGTGGGGGGTTGGCTGTGGACGGTAGCCGACACATCCTTGCCCTGACACCCAGAAGACCCAACCCTGCTGTAGTGAACACGTCACACTCAGGGCTCTCCGAATCGCTGGGGAAGGGTTGGGGAAGTGCCCCAGCAGATATGGGAGGTGGCTGGCCCCTGCCTAGATTGTACCTTGAAAATGGTAGTTGGGGGGGAAGTGGGAGAGGGGAGAGGGGGAGTCAGAGGGCAGAGAGGGACAGAGAGAAAATTAGGGGCAGAGCGAGAGACAGGGACAGAGACAGTGACAGATCGAGGGCAGCAGAGACAGAGAGGCAGAGAACAGAGAGAGCTAAGGGCCAAAGACACCCAGGCAAAGCTGAGAGGGGAGACAGGGATAGGAACGAGGTAGCAGGGGTAGGGTGCCGAGCGTGGGACAAAGACAGTGAGATGGGAGTAGAGGGAGAGGGCAAGGAGCTTGCTGGGGTCTGGGGCCCATGTAGCAGCTGTCTGGGAAGTCTGTCCATCTGTACGTCTGTCTGTGTGTCTAGGCAGTGTCATGAGAAAGCAGACACCTCCTTGACTCTGCTGGGAGGTTCTGTTGACAGTCATGCAGGGGGCACTGGCCCATTCTGGGCCCATCTCATCCTTCTGGGTCACCAGAGCCAGGTCGGGGCAGGCACGGGGTGGTCATGCCCAGGCTGCCAAGGACTGTGGGGAGAGGGTTAACAGGAGTCACAGAGCCAGCACGGCTCCCACAGAGACGGCCCAGGGTATGCACACTGCACCCTCGCAGGAAACAGGGAGGCGCCCAGGGAGAGCGGGCCTGGGTGAGGCAGAGGCTTGAGACTTGGTCAGCTACATTCATTGTGGTTGCCCACCAAATTGGACCCTTTATGTAGGGTTGAGGCAAAGAGCAAGAGGTGATTCCTGGCACCCCCAAGGTGACCTTGGAGTGGGTTCAGGTAGGCCACGTGGGGACAGCTCCTCTGTGGCTCCCTGTGGGGTCTTGAATGGAGGCCCAGGTGCAGGGTTCCGTGGTACAGATTGAAGGTGGTAGGCCTGGCCTTGCTGTCCTAGGCTCAGTCTCTCCAGGCAGGTGTCAGGTCCCTGAGCGCCGCCACTGCCCTGCGGGGAGGTGCTATGCCCCCTCTGCTGCCCACACTGTCTCTCACTGTTAGAAACTCAGAGTCCTAGAAAAGGCCCCGATGTCCACCTTCCCCACCACTCTGTTTTCATCCACTTTTCCTAGAGATTGTGAAGGAATTCATCTTCTCCTGATCCAGGCTAGATATGGGGAAGAGAAATGGGAAAATACACAAGTTAAAACCTTCTAATAGGACCCAGTAGCTCAGATGGGAAGGGTGGCCCAGAGATGGGGAGGCTTGTTGCTGGGGGTCCCACCAAGACTGCAGGAGATCCAGGTGTCCAACCCAGGAAGACCTTGCTGTTCACAAGAGGGAGAGTGAGGGCCCTGCTGGCCTGGCCCCAAGATTGCCCCAGTGCCTGGACACGGGTCCCCAGCTGCTTTCCTGACTTGGTCTGGGCCCAGTGGGGAGAGTGGGAGGTGCGGCCGCTTGGAGCCTCACATCTGCTACAGAACAGCTTGCAGACTCTGGACGCCTCCTCTGTCATCCACCACCCCACACAGGGTCCCGGAAGTACCAGCTTCCCCTGCAGTGAAGGTCACGTTGTACCCCAAGCCTCAGGCCTGCACTGTTCTCTGCAGGGTCCTTCACTCAGGTCTTTGATCGGGGCGCCCCTTCCTGACTCCCCTGTTCTCCAGAAGCGGAGTACACTCTTCCCTCCTGTGGGCATGAGGATCTCCCTGGGGCCAGGACAGCAGGGCTGGCACCCTAATGCTGCCCTGAAGGGGTAACCCCCCAGATGGTCCTCACTGGGCAGACCCAGTTCTCATTGGTATTTGCTTCCTCCAGCTCCCCTGGGCCATGTACATCGGCCCACCCAGGCATCTAGGGAGCTGGGTAAAGAAGCCCACTGGCAGCTGACCTTCCCAAGGCTTCTCTGCAGGTGGGCACTGAGGGGCTGGCCCCAGTGCTCCTCAGGTGACCACAGCCCAAGTGAGTGTGCCAATCAGGACTGTCTCAGGAGGTGGGGGCCATTCCTCCCTTCCTCCCCATCAGGAGCCATCTGGGCAGGTCTGGGCCAGCCAAGGTGGAGAGATTGGCCCACCTGTGCTTGATTTGCATACCCACTGCCTGATTTGCATGTGTTTCTAGTCACCCACGCTCAGCAGCTGAGCCAGGCCCAGGCATGGCGCTGTTGGGTCTGAGCACCCACCAGGCTCCTCCCCTACCCCGTAGGGGACTGCTCTGATGGTAACAGGTCCCACGATTGCTGGCTGCTGGTGTGGTCATATCGTTGGTCCTCACCAGTGACTGACACCCCTTGCCCTTTTTTCTCAGTAACACAGTGATTTCAGGATTTAGCATCAGGGCCAGCCTGGGTCCCCCTCAGTGGCAGGAACCACAAGCTTTGCTTCCTTGTGGTCTGTGAGGTGGCTGGGCGTCTCCTGTGGTCATGTCCTCGAGGTGCTGTTCCTGGAGACTAGCTGCCTGGCGTACCGGCCACGAATGCCCAGACCAGGTGCAGCTAGGCCATGTCTCTCCAGCTCAGAAGCCTCTGGACCAGGTCTCAGCCAGACCATGGAAGCCAGGTCCCTGGTGGAGCCAGCTCAGGAGCCCAGAGTGCCTGCAGCCTCAACATGACCTTGAATCTCAGGGGAGGGACTGGCACTTCAAGCCAAGCTGAGAATGACCTACACATTGATAATGGGGCTTAGGGTATCCTTCTGGGGTCCACCCAGAGGGGAGGACCTGACACTGTTTGCAGACAGGGTCTCCCTAACCATATGGGGTCACTTCTCTGGCCAGGGAGATTCCTGGGACCAACCACAACTGTGTTCCCGCTGTCACCCATGTTTTCCTGAGCTCCTTGCTGTGAGGGGCTGGCAGCATTGCCTCCTGGGTGGGCCTGCAGACCTTGGCCCCCACACACGTGGTGCCGCCGTGTGCACAGATGCTCGCCCACTGTGGGAGCCTGTCCGGCTCCACGGCCTTGGCTGGAGGGAAGCTCTCGCTGGCCTGACCTAGTTTCTCCCCAGCCCACGCACCACCCCACAGGACACCGAGCCACCGCTCCCTCCCCTTCTCCTCCAGTGAGGTTGTCTGTCCCAGAAGGAACCCTGCTTCTCTTGCAGGTCCCACATACAGTGCCCGGCCGCTGACAGGTTCTGTCTCCCTGACTGGCCTGCAGTGCTTGCAGGGCCCCAGGAGTAATGTGCCCATCCCTGTCCTCATGGCCTTACTATCAAGACACCCCCCCACACACACCCAGCACTCCCGGGTCTGTTAGGGGGTGCAGGGGGCAATTGAGGAAGCTTAGAGAAGTCCCCATCACCTCGCCTCAATGGCGGGTCTCTCAGCCTTGGCTGAAGGTGGCCCTTGCCTCCCGCACACATGGAAGCTACCTGCAGCCCCAGGTGTGAGAAGGGGTGCCTACATTGTCCTTGGCAGAGAGGGAGTGTGCACACAGATAGCCCCCATATGGGAGCAGAGGGACAGGCCTGCCACCACGGGCAGAACCCCACGTTCTTCTAGGGAAGGGCTGGTGGGGAGAAAGGTGAACCAGAACGGCCCGGGGTGGGGCGTTCTACTGGGCAGAAGCACCTTCCCCGAGGCAGGCAGTCCTGTGCTGAGTGCCCCCCTGCAGTGCTCTGCCGTCTCTGCTCTGCCCACGGCTGGCACCCACAGGCTCTTTTGAACACCCCTTTACCCTCTGTGACGGCTCTGCTCCCAGGCCTGCCTTAATCTGCAACCCTGGACCCTGGGCCAGCCGGAGTACCTGCAGAGCTCAGCTCACGGATGAATGAACAGCCCGACCCCAGACCCATACCTAGTCCCCCAAACCGTGAAGGCCAGCTCGATGTTGCTCCCACCAGCCCTAAGGCAGCAGGAGGCTGTTTCTTGTTCTAGGTCCTCACCGTGACCGCAGGCTGACAGGGCTGGGGAGGGTACTGATGACTCGGTGGGGAAGGGGTGTGTGTGTTTCCTGGGGCTGCTCTAGTTAAGTCCCCAAACCCAGGTGCTTGCAATAGAACTGTATTCTCTCACAGTTCTGGAAATACCGAGTCCAAAATCAAAGTGTCGGCAGTCACTCTCCCTCTGGAGGAGTTAGGGAAGGAGATTCCCGTTTCCTTGGGGTCTCTTGGCTAGCCACTCCAGTTGCTCCATCAACATCTTTGTCTTATAAGGACATACGCATCGTATGTATGGCCCCTCAGATCCAGGATGATCTCATCTCAATCCGTACCTCACTTAAATCTGCAAAGGCCCCATTTCCAAATAAGGGCCCATGTGAAGTTCTAGGTGACACGAATTGGGGGGACACTATCGAGCTTAGAACAGAGGGGAGGCTTGGGGACAGACACACAGAGGAGATGAGAACTAGGAAGGACAGAGGGGGACTCGGTGGAGACCAGCTGTGTTGGCTGAGGCCACACCTAGGTTGGGTTCCAGCACATCTAATCTCTGCCAGGGCAGAGGGGCTGCCAGGAGCCGAGGTCATGGCTGTATTCAAGGGTCTTTGGCCAGGCTTGGGGATGTGACTGTTGGTCCTCAAACCAAGGAGCTGGGCAGGCATGTCCCCACAGAGTGACTTCTCTCCACCTTCCCTGGGACACCCACTGTCTCGGCCCCGGGTTGAAGGCTTCCAGGAGGAGGGACCACCCAGGAGTGGGGAAGGAACCAGGAATGGGGGTGCTGAGGTGTCTCCCTCCAAGGGAGACTGGAGCTTGCCCAGGCTCCACTGATCCATTGCAGCTCCTTGGGCAGCTTTTAGATGTCCCTGGTTGGGGGGGGGGGCTCCCTATACCTCTGGCCACCTTAAGTGAGGTCACTTCTTCAAAGGTCCTGGTGGTCATTGGTTCTCAGGGGCCAAGAGTTCCCTAACACACCTTTTTAGCTGCGGGCACCACCTTTTGGGGTCACTGAGCCAGTCCCCCTATTACAAGAAGGGCGCTGGGAGTTGGGCCAGGCCTGCCGGGGCTTCGGAGCGGGGCGGGGAGGCTGACCTGTGCCTTCTCCCTCCCGCCAGTACGGCATCAAGAAGAAGGAGGAGCGCGAGGCCGAGGCCCAGGCGGCCATGGAAGCCAACTCTGAGGGCAGCCTGACGCGACCCAAAAAGGCCATTCCCCCGGGCTGCGGGGATGAGCCGGAAGAGGAGGACGAGAGCATCCTGGACACGGTCATCAAGTACCTGCCCGGGCCGCTGCAGGACATGTTTAAGAAGTAATGTCCCGGCGCTGGGCAGCAGCCGGCGGCGCCTCCGCCCACCCACCCCTCCCCCCGCACTGCCATTACCACCCTCACCTGGCAAGGGGCGCCTGCCCCCCAAGGCCCCTGCAGTCTGTGCGAGAGGCTCGGGGGTCAGCCCAAGTGCTGCGCTGCCCAAAGGTGGTCGTACCCCGCCCCCTCCAGAGCCCGGGACGCCCCTAACTCCCCCATCGATCATCGATCGCCGTCCATCCAGCAGCGCCCAAGGCCAGGGCCACCGGAGGGGCCAGCCCCTCGACCGCCGTTCCTGTGCGCAGTCCTGGTGTTGGTGGGTGCACTTCCGGCCCAAACTCAGGAGCACAGCCATAGTGGGGGAGGGGAGACGGCGGTTCGGGGCGCGGTAGGAACGGGGCCGGGCAGCTGGCACCTGCGCCCCGCCTCTGGGTCCGCCTGGGCCGCAGCCCCCTCCCGCGCACCAACCCCGGAGCTGTCGGATCGTGCTTCTCTGCGTCTTCCTGTTCAGGGGTCGCCCGCCCTCCACCCCGCGCCATCGGCACTCTTCCTCCCCTCTGTCTCCCTGTCCTTCCCTCCCTTCCTTCGCTCACTCCCCTGGAAGGTTTTGCTTCTTAGGAATGACTTGGCCGTGTTCTCCTAAACTAAGAAACAAAGCAATAGTTTTGGGGGACCGGGCGGTTCTCTGACACACCCCGAGTTCCTTACGAGCATCCCTGGAGCTCCCGCTGTGCCCTTCTCCGGGCCCCTCCCTGGACGCGGGGCAGCCCTCTCCTCTCCCTGACCCTCTGTCCTCCTCACCGCGGGTGGCTGTTGGTTCCCCCTTACCTTCTCTCACCCACTTACACCTTCCACGAGAGCTGGGGAGCCTGAACAACCTGTAGCCCTCCGGGACTCGTGCTGTGACCTGGGGACCTTCGCGAGAAGATAAACGGCCCAGCAACGCTGGGGCTCGGGCGTCTCTGCCCTTCTCCCCCCGTGCGGCTGCAGGGTGGCCGAGCGGGGTGCAGCACCTAGGGTTGCGGGCTGCGGGATGTCCTCCAGAGCCGACCCAACCCGGGCGACCGACCCCGCCTCCCGAGCCTGGCCTCGCAAGCCCTCCGTTCTCCATCCTCGTTTAATTTGCATCACAATATGTTGAATCTCAGGAAAATGAGGTCTTCTGTATTCGACGAGTTTTATCTAGACCGAAAGGCCCTCGCCTCGGTCCCCCTGGGGCCTTTCTGTCCACATCAAAAACGCATTGTGTCCACGTGTTGCGGGCCAGGGGCGTGGCTTGGCATTGACCTTCATGACCTTACATAGCTCTTTAGAGAAGCCATAACAATTAGACTGCAATACTAACACAAACGCCCCTCCGTTCCGAGACGAGAGCATGCCCCTGGCGCTGCGCGGCCCGCGGCGGCGCGGCTGCCCGTGAGCCCCCGGTCCGTGCTGTCGCGCCCGTCTCGCTCCCTCTGCGCCCTCTCAATCCTCCCGGGTCCACGTCTTTTTAAATGCCTGTTTTCACACTTTAAAAAGCCAGCTCTGAGCAGACCAGGCGTTTTCTCGTGGAAATCCCGCATCCCCTACCCAGCGCATGGGGCGCCCCGGGCCGAGCTTAGCGTAGACCGTGGATGTCGTCCGTTCGTCTGTCCTTGTGCCTGCGCCTCCTCCTGCATGTCGGGGGCCCTCGCGTGCGTTCTCTCCGGATGGAATCACAGCCAATAAATACCACAGTGATTTCACACGGTCTGGCCACTCCTTCCAGAGTTCCGAGTCCACCCAGGGATCTGACAGCGGTGCCCCCGAGAGGTGCGCCCCCAGAAACTTACATCTTCCTGCGCGACAAACAGGCCCTCCCATCCGCTCATGCCTTGCCAGTACCCCCTGCTCTCACTGGGGCAACCGTAGGGTCTCCCCATCAGCCTGACCCGGTTCACCCCCTCTGACCCATTCTCCCCAGGACAGCCTGGAACAGAACGATTTTCATCTAAACTGCAGACCTGCCTTTTCTGAGCCCGCCTGCAGGCTGCGTCCTCTGGTGCTCCATCCCCACTCACAATAAGCCTTTCCCTCTTCATAGCTCTGTCAGACCCTGGGGACCAGATCACACTGCCAGTCATGCCCAGGCCCACCACAAGCAGGAAATTCTTGTTCAGTCGGCCCTTGCCTTCCTCTGGGGGCTGTTCCTCTCCCTGCACCTGCACTGCAGCACAGAGAAGCCGCCTGGGCTGAGGCCAGATGGGACTCTCTGTCCCGGCACAAGGCGCCTCAATCCCAGTTCAGTTGACAGCCCTTCTACCTCTCTTCTTGGGGGGAGGTACCCCTGTCCTCCCATGCCCAGTCTGTCCTGCGTGCTCAGTCCCACCCTGAGGGGCTGTGGCCACTTGTGTCCCTGAAAAGGCCCTGTGAGATCTCCCTACGAGGTGGCCCATTAGTGTCCCTGGATCTGCCCCACACTGCTGACTGCCGAAGCACGAGAGGATGTCCTGCCGCACCTGCCCAGTCTCAGGGGGCAGAAAGGCCACGTGTGCCTGCCACTAAGCTGGGCCCTGAGGTGGAGCCCCCCTTCTGGATGCCAGGTGTGATGTGGGGGGAACACGTTTGACTTCAAGCATATGGAGGGAGGTCTCCCATTACCCCTCCACTGCCTCTGGGGGTAGTGTGGACTCTCCACCCAGGCTCTCTGCGTGGCCCAGGGTGACCTTCCACCTACTGAGGAGACAGCAGTTGTCCACCCTTCCCTGAGCCTGAAACTCGGACCAGAAAGCTCCGCAGCCACCTCTGTAGCTTTGGCTGCTGCACACTGCCCTCGGCATGCTTGCCCCAACCAGGGCGCGCCAGAGGGCCCCTTCCTTTCAGCCTCCACTACCACCCTATCCCCGAACCTATGGCAAAGACTGGTCTGGACATCTCTTGGGCTTGAGCAGTGACTTAGATGTGCTAGGTGACCTGGCCAGCCTTCTCTGGGAAACCCAATCAGCGGTTCCTCCAGTGTCTGACCGGTGAGACCCTGGCCCACCCCTCACCCTTGTGTGACAGGGTCTGAGGCCTCCAGGCAAAGTGTTTCCAATACGCCACTTTGTCCTGTGTACAGGGATAATCCTCACCCACTGATTTTCTAGTAATTGGAGGCAAACAATAGATGTCGAGTGGTGATTTCTGATCTGTAGGAAAATTAAGCAGGATGAGGGGCAGGGAGCAATGTGAAGGTTATTTCATGAGCGTTGGGGAGGCCCCTCTGAGGGGGCTGATGTGCAAGACTGGAAGAGAGGAGGGAGGAGCCATGGCAGGGGATCACTTTTATGTTCTTCACGCGCCAGAGATGGTCCCCACTCCTGGAGCAGGGAAGTCCTCCGGTCTCCAGGTCCAGCTGTCTCCTCTGCCTGGTCCCTGCGGGCAGCCAGCCCTGCACAGGCCCATGCAGGCCTCTGCTTGGATGTCTGTTTTACCCTCGTCTCTAGTGACAGCACTCGATGATCAACAGCGGCCTCTGAATCACAGGTCATCCAGCCAGCAAGGCTTTCAGGAGGTTTGAAAAGATGCAGCAATTAAGGAAATTGTGTCTAGCTCTGCTATTGTAACTGTCAGCGAGACAAATCCCGCCGTCCATTACGAAGACAGCGGGGGCCAGTGAACCCAGGTCTGAGCCATCGCAGTTTGGAAACAGCTGCGCTGCTCTCCTGAGGTCTGAAAGGAGGGGGCCGG